ACATTATGATTAATAACTCTTATAAATTAGTTTTAAAATTTAGTTTTAATTATCATTATTCTATATATGTAGATTTAGTGTTAATTATTATTATTCTATATACGTAACAAAAAATCATATTTAACGTGTTATTTTGTAATTAGTACTTTTCATTAAATGAGTCACATATAATGTTGTACGCATATCTTTAGCTTATATATACTTTACCAGGTCTTTCTTTTTCTCTCTAAGTGTTATTTTAGCCTGTTCGGTTGATGGGATTGTTGATTGCTAAATTAGATGTAGAGTTTATTGCAAGTTATGAAGAATGAGACCAGCAATTTTCATTTTATAAAATAAAAGATGAAAGAATGGTTAATTGTACTTCAAAGTTTTATCTACTCCTTCCACTTGTTATGATCTCTATCTAATTTACCTAACAAACTACTTCTAACCAAACATGAAGTTTAAGTATTCACCCAGGAGTACAATTGTTCCATGTTCAGGAAAGTCAAAAGCGAATGAAGATCAGCCTAGAGACACGAGAGGCTGAAATGAAATCCCTAAAAAATGAACATCTTTTGGCGATTCATAACTTTCAAACTCAATCAGTGGAACTCGACAATTGGAAGAAAAAGTACGAGAAGCAACATGTAAGTTTGCTTGTAACTTCGTAAGCTTATTTTTCTCCCTTTTTTTGTTCTACAAGCTTTAAATTTTATTATGTACGTTTAGGAAATCGAACAGCAAATGAAGTCCACCTTGGAGACTCTACAGGCTAAAAATGAATCCCTAAAGCATGAAAGTGCTTTAGTGACTCAAAAGTTTCAAATTCAATCAGAGGAACTTGACAAATGGAAGAAAAAGTATGAGAAGCAACATGTAAGTTTTCCTTTAACATTTGAATCTTATTTTTCTTTTGTATTCTACAAGTTTTGAATTTTATTATGGTATGTTCAGGAAATTGAACAACAAATGAAGTCCACCTTGGAGACACTAAAGGCTGAAATTGAATCCCTAAAAAATGAGACTGTCTTGGCAACACAAAAGTTTCAAACTCAATCAGAGGAACTTGACAATTGGAAAAGGAAGTACGAGAAGCAACATGTAAGTTTTACCTATAGCTTCTGAAGCTTATTTTTCTCCTTTTTTTGTTCTGCAAGTTTTAAATTTTATTATGTACGTTTAGGAAATCAAACAGCAAATGAAGTCCACCTTGGAGACTCTACAGGCTGAAATTGAATCCCTAAACCATGAGAGTGTTTTGGCAACACAAAAGTTTCAAACTCAATCAGAGGAACTTGACAATTGGAAGAAGAAGTATGAAAAGCAACATGTAAGTTTTCCCTAAACGTCTGAAACTTATTTTTCTCTTTTTGTGCTCTTCAAGTTTTGAATTTTATTATGGTACGTTTAGGAAACTGAACAACAAATGCAGTCCACCTTCGAGGCACTAAAAGTTGAAATTGAATCCCTAAGAAATGAAAGGGTTTTGCCAATGCATAAATTTCAAACTCAATCGGAAGAACTTGACAATTGGAAGAAGAAGTACAAGAAGCAACATGTAAGTTTGCCCCTAACTTTTGTAGCTTATTTTTCACCTTCTATTTTACAATAAATTTGACAAATTGAACCAGGAATTCATCAAGCAACATGTAAGTTTGTTTGTATACTACCGCAACTTGTTTTCTTTTTGTAATACAAGTCTTGAATTTTATTATGGTATGTCCAGGAAAATGAACAATGGATGAAGTCCAATATGAAGAAACTTGAGGCTGAGAAAGGATTACTAAGAAAAGAAAATGAAACTCAATCCAAGGAACTTGACAAATGGAAAAAGGAGTACCAGAATCAACTTGTAAGTTTTGGCTAACTAGAGAAACAAAAACTTAGGGACTATTTGGTATTATTGTTGATTTCTTTTTAATTTCAATTTTTATATTTTTAGAAAAATTTTACCCGTATTTGATTAGACTTATTGATTTTTCCAAAAGTAAAATCTGGCTACAGAATTCCATCTTTTCAATTGGAAACCAAAAATAAAGTGTTCAAATTAATTGTGACTTATTTTTCCTTTTGGTCTTACGATCTTGAACATTATTATGGTACGTTTTTATTATTGTTAGGCAAAAAAACGGCAACTAAAGTCCAAGCAAAAGATACTGGAGTCTGAAAATGGAAGATTGAAGGATCAGATTATTGAAGTTGTATCAAAGCAGCGTAGAAATAAACATTCCGCACCCAAACAACTGGTAAGTCTTAGTCCCGAACTAGAGAAATTATTGTTTTTGCTATGTATGAAAAAAATTAATAAACTTAAATGCATTCGCCTTACTAAGATACTATTAACACTAGCAGGCATCAATACCCATCAACGGAGTTGGAAGCAGGCCAGCGACGATAATGGCGCCGTCCTCTCCCCCACCCTCACGCAGTCCTGATCATTACTCTGGCGAATTTTACGGGAGTTTTGATCCTGAAGAATTTTACTCAGCCACAGAACCTCAAACTTTTGATTTTCGAGCTTTTAAAAGGTGATTTTTATGGATAACACTTAATATTTAATATAATTACAAAATTATCCATCAAAACTTAATTTTATATAATTTAATTACATTATATTTTATAATATTTTTTAAAATTTAATTAATAATTAATAAAATTTACTATATTTCATTTATAATATTTTTAAAAAATAAATAATCAAACAACACAATAACTTTCAACTACAATTACAACACAACATAGTTCAGCACAATCACAATTACAGACATAGCATTTTACAGCAACTCCTAATGCACCCTCAGTTTGTTGGACGGATTTGCTTAACCCATATCATGACAAAGAAGATCACATTCTGTCAATTTATTCATCACAAGTTAAATCATTAATTAAATCTTTATCACTAATATTTTTACTGACGATTTTAGCACCCATCACAGAAATAAATTTTATAGTGACAAAAAAAATCAATATTATTAATAAGTGATTATTAATAAATTATTTATAATAATTTTATTTGTCACAAAAAAAAAAAAAAACTAATTGTGACAGAAATGTTCATCACAAATGCTACAATTGGGTTACGAAAAAAAAGGTCATTAATGCAATTAAATATTTGTGACAAAATAATTGGTCATCAATTATTTAAACTGATATTAAACTAAAAAAGGTGTTTTTGTAATTATAATATACATTTGTGATGGATTTTTCCTTAACAAATACACTAAAATATTTATGATAGAAAATTTGTCACTAATTATCTAAATAGAAAAAGATAACAATATATCTGTGATCATAAAAATAATATATAAAAGATAAATTTTTATTATCAAAGAAAATTTAATAATAATTTGGTTTTATAATGGAACTGCAAATAATATTTTTTATCAACAAATAAAAAATTTTATTAAAAAAAACTTTAACTTGTTATTACAAGGTTCCTACAATAAAAATACATATCACCTATCACACCCTACAATCTTGTTTCAATCTTTATGTGTAATTGCTATACAACTCTGGTTCAACTAGTAAGGCAAAGTGCATCATTACTCACACAACCCCATTTAGACATTTTATAGCCTGAATAAGAAAAAGAAATCCTAACCCATATACATACAAAATTGACCTTAATATATATCACAATACTTAGCTTGAAAGTGCTACAAAACCTCAAAAAACACAAGCACAAAAAAACTGAGCCAGAAATCCTTTCCGGTCCTTGCTGGGCCTTAGTCTCCTTTTGCTTGGCCATAGACTTCAAATATAATGATGAAAAGACCCTGAAAAAATCAATAGCACCAAAAAACACATAAATCGAGTAACCAAAACCAAAATCTAATTTTAATTAGTTTATAATCGCCAATACACTTTCTCCTCTGTTATTAAAGATTACTTAATTGCTCCAAAGCCATATCGAACCAAATTGTCATCAAAGCCTTTCGCTGACTCTTCCTTTGCCATAGACTTTCATGATGCAAGAAAGCACTATTGCATGCATTATGAATATTTAATGCTTCGAAAAATCCAAATCCCCAGTACACATGACAATAGTGCCATTGTTTTTATGCCTTATCACATATTTAATCAGCAGTTATCTTAGAAAAAAACTAAAACTTGGCTGAGGGTCAAAACAAAAAAAAAAAAGATTTTACCAGTGATTTTATATGATAATGAAATGCTCATAATTTTTTTGCAATCCATTCAGGATGAAGAAAAAATAATACTTGCAATCGATTCTTACCAAAACGAAGGATCGGAGTCGCGGCATTTGGTTCTTCTTCTGGCATTTCTGTTTAGTGTTTGCTCCTCGGAGAAACGAAATCTTCACGTGGCGAAAGTCCGCAAGTTCTGTCTTTTTCCTTTTTTTTTTTTTTTTTTTTGGGGTGATCTGAAGAATGAGGAGTCAAAATCAATTTTCCCAAAATCATAATAAAAGCGATAATAAGGATAATTCCATGGCCCAAATGTTTAAGATAATTTCAAAGAATGTCCCTGACTTTTTTCTAACACCCGAGAGAGTTAAGGTATAAATGAAAATAAACAAAGAATTAGGGTATTTTTGACAAAAATGTAAAGATTTGGGCATAAAAAATCTAAATGGACGAAAGGATTAGATAGGATTGCGGACACCGACCGTCTGAGCGGAAGCAAACATGAATGTAGCAATTGGCGGCAACCTGCGTTATCCTTTCCTGCCCAAATCACCGGTAGAATCAACGAATTCCGGTCATTTCTGCATTCGGATAACTCGCAATTTGCGGAGGGAGCCTCTGGTCAGCGTGATTGAAAATGAGACCGCCACGGCGAAAGAAGCTCCGTCTCTTTCTGGATCTAGATCTATGTCTCGTCGCCTCATTCTTCTCCGCCATGCGAAGAGCTCTTGGCAATATCCTTCGCTCCGAGGTAGTATTTCGCCTCTCTCTGCTAAATTTCCAACGGGAGATAAAATTATATCCAAAATTATCAGCTCATCAAATATTCTCACTAAAATAAAAAAAGACTTGGCTGAGGGTCAAAACGAAATAGGAGAAGCACATCCTAACTGAAAATATAGAGCACATAAAAAATTTTGGTTAAATGTTAAATTTGGTCCCTCAACTTTATAGAGTTACATTTTTTTGATCCCTCAATTTTAAGAAATGCACAACGTTAATCCTTTCGTCAATTTGAACCATTAAGTCTGCTCATCTGGTATTTTTTATATTTTGTTTGATGACATGGATAATACAAGTAGAAAAATATGCTTATTTGGACTAAAACGCATGCCACATTACAAATAAACTTTACCCACTTCATTTAATAAATAATAAAAACTTCAAAATTACATAAATGCCCTTAACCTCATCTACTTCCCTTGATTTCCTCTTTTCTCCCCTTTATTCATTAACTCTAAACTTCGACAACTTCTCCCTCCCTTTCCTTGTCTTTGGTAGCTTCTCCTTCTCTTTTCCTTTTTCTGGTGCTAACTTCTCATCCCCTCCCATCCCCTCCCATCCCCTCCCATCCTTTGTTTGACTTTTTTTTTCTAAAATCTGGGTTTGAGCAAGATTTGGGTTCGAGCGAGATGAACAAACCTTGTAGATCTAGGTTTAAGCAAAATGAAGAAACCTTGTAGATCTAGGTTTAAGCAAAATGAAGAAAACCTCGTAGATCTGGGTTCAAGCAAGATGAACCCAGCCTTGCTAGTTGCCCGAACCCAACCTTGCTGGGTTCGCACGACCAGCAAGGCTAGGTTTCGATGAACCTAGCTGCTAGGCTCACGCGACCAGCAAGGCTGGGTTTCAACCAACCCAGCCTTACTAGTTTAGTCGAGGTTGGGTTTCGACGTTGGGTTCATGTTTTTTCATTTTTCTTTCGATTTTCATTTCCAATTCTTGATAAATTTGGGAGTTGATTTACAATTTGATTGTATTTTTGTTGAAATTAAATTAGAGTTTGATTGATATTGTTTATTGAATGGTTAATTTGATTTGATGAGATCCACTGCCTTGATGAACTCAGTGGTTTTAATGAAACTAGTAACTGGGTTCGATGACAAAGAACTCAAATTTTGCTCTGAAGCATTCTAGAGTTCATAGTTCTTTGTAGGTTTTAGTGCGTTTGATTTGTGATAATAAACGTGGCATAATGTTTTGTCTATATCAGTATCTTTTTAGGTTGTTTTCTCCATGTCATTGACATGTCATAAAAAAAATATAAAAGATGCCACATGGCGGAGTTAACTGCCCAAATTGACGAAAGGACTAACGGAGTGCATTTCGTATAGTTGAGGGATCCAAAAAGTGTAAAAAATTGTTGAGGGATAAAAAATGTGCATTTTATAAAGTTGAGAACTAAATTTAGCATTTAACCAAAAAATTTTAGTAAAAATAATTTTTAAAAGAAAAATTCACGACAAGCAACATAAAAAAGGGGTAACGATGCATATGGATAATATCAATAATTTTAAAATAAAAAGTTTGATTATTAAATCAAAATTAATTTTAACTATCTTAATAGATTTAATTATGTAATTATATTTAATATAATTACTTATAATTTCTAGTTCTACAAAAAATAGGATAAAAAACAAAAATAGAATAAGCATATCCTAACCAAAAAATGATAAAGCACACAAAAATTATTTTAGTAAAAACATTAAACAAAAAACCTTTACGATAACCAACATAAAAAAGGGATAAGGATGTACATGGATAATATCAATAATTTTAAAATATTATTATTTTTAAAACTCTCTGGTAAGTACATATAGAAAAAATTATTTTTTTTACAAGAAAGTGGAGCTTATTTATATTTTTATATAAAAATTAAAATTAAAAATTGCAATTCATTTCCATACTCTATTTTAAGAATTTATATTTATCTAATAAAAAAAGAAGCCTTTTTTTTATAAAATTAAGTGTTTGTGCTTGATATCATAATTCTTTCTTTCTTTTTTAATGGTTTTTAGTTTGAATTATATAATATGAAATAATTATTTCTTATTAATAAGTTTATCCATTTTTATTAGTATATTTGGACAGAAGAAAATGAAAAGGAGATAAAAAATTCTTTATTGGATTATTAAAAAAATTGAAGAGGACAAGAAAAATTCCTTTTACTTTATTTTTTAAAATTATAGATGCTAATAAGTTCCTTCTATGATTATGTATATAAATATATTTATATAGAAACTGCATACTTTTACCAACGAGGAGTTGGATCAAGTGGCAAGCGGCTTATTCCAGCTTAAGCAAGGTCTCGAATTCGAGACCTTGTGTACGCAGCAATCTTCGTTGGGAGACCCACCCATCATTCTGGTGCGCCACAGCTGGTCGAATCCGGAGTAGTCGGGGCGAAGCCCCGGATACCGGATGGGGAACCAAAAAAAAGAAACTGCATACTTTTTAATTCAACATATTTATTAAAAAATTATTAATTTTTGATCTACAATTAAAAACAAAAAACTTAAAAATATAAGCATATATACAATCTAGAGAAACCAACTGAATTGATTACATCTATATTATATTTTAGTGATTAAATTAATTAGATAAGGATATGTATGTTGAATTGAAATGTATTTAAATCATTTTCCTATTTATATATCCCTCTCTGTTCATAAATTTTTTTTTCTTTCTAAATATCCCTCTCTATTCCCCTAGAGAGATATTAAAATAGGATACAAGAATTGTAATTTTTGCTTAAATTAGGTGGCCTATATTTGACATTATCCTATATATATATATATATTTTAAGTGGTGGTTGTAGTATCGACGGTGGTTTGGAGGATGTATGGATAGAAGGGAATTTAGTGATGAAAAAATTAGTTACAATTGGTGATTTTATTTGTTTTAGACCCATTGCATAATCATTAAATATAATATTTGTTTTAAATAAAAATTTATCATAAATAATATTTAGTATTTGTGACTAACAATTTGTCGTCACAATTACTTATTTTATAATAATGATTTTTATTGTTTTAAGCATGTATTGTCTATGGAATTGTTTTCAATGACAAAATATCTTTTTAGTTACAAGTTTATTTTATTAATATTAAGCATGTGAGTACCTGTAACTAATATTTGATATCTGTCACAATTGTAATTATTGTAGTGATAACTTTTATTGTTAGAAGCTTATATTCTCTCTATGATTATTTTTTAGTGACGAAATATAATTTTAATAATGATTTATTTTGTCATTATAGTACATGTGTGTATTTATGACTAATATTTAAAATCTATCACAATTGTGATAAGTTATAATGATGATTTTTATCATCACAAATCTGTGTTCTCTCTATGATTATTTTTCAGTGATAAAATATTTTTTTAGTAATTAATTTTTTTTGTCATTTGTGAACATATACATATTTGTGACTAATTTTTAAAATCTATCACAATTGTGATGAATTATAATGACGATTTTAAAATTCATCAGAAATTTTCATTACTAAAAATCTTTTTTCTATAGTGCATCAGGTGGTACTATAGAGATAATTTTTTATATTACTTTTTTATACAATTTTTATATGTTATTAAATCAGTTGATGCATACAATATCACAAATTCTAAATGAATGAAAAAATTTAATTATTTAAATGACACATCAAATTGTATCAAAAAATAATATAAAAAAATGAAAAATGAAGTGTGCACACTCGGATCCAATACCCAGATGTGCACACATCATA